ATATATATATATATATATACTGGGAAAATTGAATGGTTTTGGTATTATTCCTTTGATTTAAATTGCTCTTACATGCCTTATATTCACTGAGCTTCTATTCTTGAAGCAAACCATTCTCAACAATGAATTGCTGGAATACAGCATTGTCAGGAAACTGGGACTTAAAAGTTCATTACCTAAAATGATGTCTGTCTGAAAATTCTTCCCTTCTCCATTCCTTTTCTAGTCAAAAATTGGTGTGGAAAATGTCCAGCTCACTAACTTTTTTCTGTAGCACATAGCACTGAATATTTACTTTACAGGCACAAACAAGTGAAAAACAAGCCAGCTATCAGGCAGAGAATTTCAATAAATTTACTTACTGAAAGACAGAGGTTAAACAATGTGAGGTACATTACATTGCTTACTGAATGTTTTTTTCTCTATGATGTAATAAGTAAAAACATCTGATAAACAAAACTGTAAATTAGTACAAGAGGAGATAAAGGGGAAGAAACAGAGCTGGAAAAGGTTAAAAGGAAGAATTTGAAAAGAAACTGTTAGACAATAGTAATTTTAGAATTTGATTTTTTGAAAAATATTGTACAAAAAAATTCTGAAAAATAATGCTTAGCTGAGCTAAATTTTACTTCTTTGAAAGACAGCAATCACTAGTTAATTTTATGTTTGCCATAGCTTGTTTCATCAAGTAAGAATGCTTTTGGATAAACAGAACAAACACTACAAGAAAAAGTTTGCCCTTCCCAGTTGTACACATTATTGGAGCCTGATATAAGGAGCCATTTCTTTTGTAGCCTACCTGAAGATGAAGCGCTTGGAGGCTTTCAGGGAGTGGCAATGGAATGTGATCCAAATTATTGTCAGTGATATAAAGATGCTGCAGTTCATCCAGATTCTAGAGGAAGATGAAAAAAAACAAGGGGAGATGACAGACATTTTTGAAAACCTCTGGCAAGTATGTTTGAAATCTATCACTGTAATGAAAAGCAATAGATAGCAAAATATTTTGTTTCCTCATGATATGGTAAAAAGACAGAAATTCAAAGACATCAACTCTGATGTGAATAGGCTGAAAATGTTGCTGATGAGGGTTAGATGTTCAGATTAAAATGAAGGGGAAAAATGTTTTTCAAATATCCATAGAATTATTAAAGATGTTACTTTTATGATAATGTTACTTCCTTTCTTTTGTGACAAGGCTACTCAATTTTGCAGAAGTGCATTGTGTTGAAGTAAATGATAACTGTATAAGAAATGCCTGAGTAAAAGATACATTTCTCATTCCATTTCAAAAGGTAAATTTAGCTTCTTGGAGGAATGAGTGCTTCTTGGAGGAATGAATGCTGAGAAATCTGGCAGATACCATAGCTACTCTGCTCACAGTGGTCTTTCAAAGGTCACAGGAATCAGGAGAAGTGCCTGAGGACTGGAGGTAAGCTGGTGTCATCCCTATCTACAAAAAGGGCAAAGAGGATCTAGAGAATTACTATCCAGTCAGCTTCACCTCGATCCCTGAAAAGGTGATGGACCACCTCATTCCTCATTCCTCATGGGGAGGCCATCTCCATCCCCAGGGATGGCAAGAAGATCATCAGGAGTAGCCAGCATGGATTCACTAAAGGTAAATCATGCTTGACCAACCTGATTGCCTTCTAAAATGAAACAACAGCCAGAATGGGTGAGGGAAGAACTATTCTGACTTCAGCAAGGCTTTTGACATTTTCTCTCACAGTATACTCTTAGCAAACTCAGGAAGTGTGGACTGGAAGAGTGGAGAGTGAGGTGGATTTAGAACTGACTGAACGGCAGATCCCAGAAGGGCATAATCAATGGCAGTCTAGAAGGAGGTGTGCCACTAATGCTGCCCCTCAAGGTTCAGTGCTGGGCCAGTATTGTTTAACATGTTCAGCAATGACTGGGGTGGAGGGACAGATGCCTCCTTAGAAAGTTGACTGATAACACAAAGCTGGGAGGAGTGGCCAATATCCCAGAGGGCTAAGCAGCCCTCTAGAATGATCCCAACAAGCTGGAGAGTTGGGTTGAGAAGAACCATCTGAAATTCAACAAAGGCAAATGCAGGGTCCTGCACCTGGTAAATAACAACCCCACACAGCAGTACAGGCTGGGGGCCGATCTGCTGGTAAGCAGTTCTGCAGAGAACAACTTGGGTCCTGGTGGACAACAGGCTGTCCATGAGCCAGCAGTGCCCTTGTGGCCAAGAAGGCCAATGGAGTCCTTAGGTGCATTAGGAAGAGTATTGCCAGCAGGTCAAGGGTGGAGATCCTGCCCCCTACTCAGCCCTGGTGAGGCACATCTGGAATACAGTGTCCAGCTCTGGGCTTCACAGGACAAGAGAGAGACATGGAGCTCCTTGAGTAGGTTCATTTGAGGGCTACAAAGATGATTAGGGGACTGGAGCATCTCTCTTGTGAGAATAGGCTACACTTCTAACCACATCCTCTGGAGAGAGGAAGAAAAGATTTTGCCATCACACCCAAACTTACTTTAAATGCCTCATTTGGTATCCCTCTGTGACCAAGCCTGTTCTTACTAACATCAATGAACGTTAAGGTAGATGGTAACTCAGGGAGTTGCCTTATCCTGTTGTCACGAAGCACCAACTCCTGAAGTTGGGGCAATCTTCGGAAGGCATCCTTGTGGATATCTGATATGAAGTTTGCAGTCAAATCAATCCTCTTTAAATGGTCTGGCAGAGAAATAAGATACAATAGACTTATAAGAATGTATTTCCTAAAATTTTAAAAAAACCCTGCCTATGTCATTCTTTATATATCTTTCAGTGAAAGACTTCAAAGTTGAGTTTTAAGATTTCTGTGTGTTTTGGGAATCTTATAAATTACTATCTTTTGGAAAAAAATATACTCAAAGGGAAACAAACATATTTTCATTACCTTTCTTTAATTCAACAGTTTTCTATATGTAAGAAATTTGATATATTGACTTCTTTGTAAAATATGTTCAAGAATTTTTTCCAATTAAAAAAATACAAACCCCAAATTAAATTGAATATTTGGGGGGTTGAATTACTTTTCTAAAGTTGATTGTAAGTAACAGCAAAAAAATCAATGATCATTGTTATTTTTAATAATTCAAATGTTTGGCAGAGAATCTGCATCTGATGTATGGATCTTTATGCTCCAAAGTAACAAAATAAATAAATGTACATTGATTTGTAAAATTTACCATAATCAAACATTATTTAAAATATATCACTATATTTTTGGTTGTTATGATCCAGAAATAATCAAAATTAAGGCTGATTTCAATAATACTGCTATCCATACTTAAGTTAGCAAAGTCATTTCTGCTGATCTTCTTGATTCTGTTATAGCGTGAATAGAAATACATGGTTTTCTTAGGCAATGGTGGAACAGCATCAAGGTCACGATCATCACAGTAGACTGTGGTGCCTAGGCATGTACACAAGAGGCAAGTGGGAAGACCTATCAAGGAATTTAAAAGAAAACATTTTGTTAGAAAGGACATGTATAAAAATCATACATAAATTACTACAATGAAATGCTCACATAAGCACCTAACAATCAGACTTTGTCTATGGTAAGGTTCACTTCTCATTCTGCTTTGATCACCAAATCATATAATTGCAACAGTAAGGTGATTGAAATATTTTAAAATTAATTCATTTTTCTTCTTATGCCTAGGAGAACAGTTAATTTGTTCTAATAAATTGTTTCTCAGACTATAATAGAATATTTGGTGACATCAACCACCCAGAAGTTGATTTCTCCTTAAGATAGCAGGTGGAGGTATTCCTAGATGGAGGAATAATAGCTGATGAATGATATTTCCTACTTAATCTGTCTCACTGTCACTCTCTTTCTCTCCTCCCCCTCCCTTTTTATATTTCTTTCTAACTTCTCTCCTCACTCACATTTACTATTAAATAAAATCCATCCTATTCACTTTGGCATATGGTCTCATTTGCACCTTAATTCAGGCAGAGGCATCCCTATAACAATTTTAATAACTGGATTGTAACACTTGTGACACTGACTTTTTGATACATCTTTTCCTTGATTATGAGTATAAATCAGCATATCTGTTTGTCATCTTTTAATCCCATAGAAATACTTTTCTGTTTCAGGTTTTCCTCCTCCTTGTAGCAGATGGGGTTGTTTGCTCTTGCTACTTATAGGATAGTAGGATAATTGAGGAATATGAAAATGTTTTTTTTGTAAATTAGTTTTACCTCCATATCAGATGTGGCTACATGAGAGATGTGCCTTCTTAATCTGCCCCAATTTGTAGGTTATTGAGGTGCCTTTTGAGACAAGATTAAAGAATCAGTAACCAGAGTACTCTTTTATTTTTGTGTGATAATCTCTTCTTAGGCATCCAGGAATACAGATTCTGGAGAGATAAGGATCCTTTCATGCTTTCCCTAACTTTCTCCACAGGACAGATGAAATTGGCTACAGAGAGGAGGTCTGACACTGGGGAAGAAATATTCACACCTTGAACTAATCCAGCAAATCTAGGCCGAAATGAATACAGAGTTAAGGATGGCTGATATTTTTTCATAATATTGGAATATAGTACCGTAGTTTGGGGAAAGGGTTTCACCCTGTCCTAGTTTTAGAGGAGTGGTATTTCTCACCTGTGCCTGGTGGACACCAAAAAAAAACAGAGATAAAAGAAGGATTCAAAAATATATCAACAAGAAAAATGAGCTTGGCTTACTGTTACTGAGCCTTATATTCTTCTATTCAATACCAGGCCAATAGCAGCAACATCTGACAGTAAAATATGTTGCTTGAAAAACGAAGACACTAGAGACATCTGATTTGATATCTTACTGACTTGAGCATTTCTTTAGTTGATGCACTACTTGATTTGCATTCAGTACTCAAAACTGTTGACAGATACAGAATTCATCAAATGTAATATTTACAGGACATATTGTAACATTTTGTAATTTTCAAAATTGAAAAGGGGCATGGGACTTTTTTTTTCTTTTTTCTGAAATCTCATTCCATTTTTACTTTTCTTGACACTGTATATTTTCGTCTGGTAAAAAAATAAGACTATGAGTTATTAACTTCCATGAATACATAATTTTGGAAGCAGGAACTCTCAGGGTTTATGGTTTTTTGTTTTTTTTTTAAAATTTTATTTTTCTTCTATGGCACTCAGCTGTAGTGTTGGGCATAGTAAAAAGTAGTATTTTCCTATTACTGTATGTTGATCACCATACAACACAAAAAGATTCCGCGCAGCAATGGAGTGAGCTTTACCTACTCTATTTTAGAGGAGCTTCTGGCAAATGTCAAAAAATTAGCAGCGCAAAATTTGTGTCGGAGAGGGACAGATTATGTTTTGCAATTTTAATTCTCCTGCAAGATTTATAGAATTCTTCTTTAACTATAGTCAGAAGAACTGAAAATAATTTTCCTTAAAAAGTTCTAAGTAGCTCTCGTTCCTTAAGTTTTTCAGTGCATAGTTTCCATGGTCAAAAATTCTTCAACATTTTAATTATACTTTGTATGACTATATTTATAAGACCATGTAGCAAATAATTATTAGACAGTTGATAATGGCATTGAAATGTAAGACAGAAAAACAAGTACTGGTAGCATTGCCAATGAGCAGCAAATTTTTGAGTTGTAAATCTTCACTGGTACAGATATTATAATGAAATAGTATGGAAACCTTTTGACTATCTGGCACCTATCTGACTTTGAGGGATTCAAGATAGGCACATTCTGTCTTTCTGCAGTAAGGGGCATACAGAAATGATGTACTTCATTTTCAGTAAAAAAATAAAATGGGCTTGCTCAAAATCAAAGCTACACACAAAAAATAATTTCTTTCCTACTAACCATCTTGAGTCTGGGGTCCAAGAACCCCTGACCCCTGTGCTGAAGACCCATCAATTAATTTTGGTGTTGATGCTTCATCCTCGGTTTCTTCTGTCAATGGTGCAGAAGAATAACTCTCTTGAATTACAGAAGATAGTTCTGTCCCAATATCTGTCTAGGGAAAATGAAAAGGAAATGTTACTGTTTACTTCCCTTGGAAACTGTTTGTCTTCCAGTTATTCATATTCTCCCACTAGAGGTCACATATTTTCTGAGGTTTAGTGCTTGTGCTGCGTTTTATCCGGGAGCTATAATGAATTCTGATGATATATAAAAAAATCATGAAAACCCAACATATTTATTTGCTTTTTATCTCAGTATTTTTAATGTTTCTTATGTATGCACACATGCATATACTTCATTACTGAGAATATATACTAGCAAAATTATTTTTCCTTATTTTTGTAAAGATAAATTAGACTTGTGATAAAGAATGATAAACTGTGTGTGAAAAATGAAAATTTCCTGTGAAATATCAAAAAGGTGCAAGTCATTTACCATAAAATTGTAAATTTGACCATCATAAATCCAAATCCAATATAGCTGTGCAGGGTCTGCTTAGAACACTAACATGATTTAAAAAATATTACTAAATCTGAACATGATATAAAAATACTACTAAATAATTCTGAACTCTGACTTCACATACACTTTTCTAGTATGTTAAAGACTCTGGTTAACTTCATTCACTAGTAGCTGTGTTATGTAGTATGAAAATACTGATGTAAATAAAATATTGGATAAAACCTTGGTTTTAAAATATCCATAAAATTTGGAAGATCCTTGCATGGAACTAGAAATTTTTATTTTTTTTTTTTTATCATTCACTCATAATTAGTCAAAGCAGTAAATTTTGTCAGGTTAACTTTAATTTTAAAAATGCTTAATTATCTTGATTTTCTTATATGACAGTTCAGGATAAAAATTAAGATGTAGTTATTTTCTTGTATCACATCACCGCTCATAAAAAGGGTATTGCAGACTTGCCAGGCTTGTTGCAAAGGGGTCTGTGTTAGCAAAGAGGCAGAGTTGTTTTCTGTAATCACCCAGACATAGTTGTGTGATCTTTGGAAGTTACTTTCCCACTGTATTTTCATTTCCCCATGTGTAATAATATAGTTCAACTGAGCCAGAGCCCCTTTTGAAAGTGTACCCTTTATTCCTTAAATCCAAAACAATTAATTTGTGTCATTTTAGTTTTGCACATCTGAGGTGCTGTTAAAAACGTGGGTAATGTATTTAACCCTGTGGGTGCTGCACCCCTGTGCTGCAGTTAGCACTCCTTATCCTTTTCTAAGGCACAGCCAAATATAGTTATTTTGTCACAGTATCATTATTCCAGGTGCAAAGGCACCAAAATTCTGCTTCAGTTTTCATCCAGTGCAGCTTTCTAGCACAACACCACCACAATACCATTGAATCCCAAGTCTTTTCACCTGACCATGTATCTCCTTTTTTGAGACCATCCCACAGCTACTGCTCTCTTTGCTGTCTCCATGAAGAACCAGTTGTTGATATCAATCACAGTAGTGTTCATAAATTCTAATTATAAAAGACAGGTAAAAGTAATTGCATCTAGCCTGGCCAAATAGTTGGAATTTCTAAAATTTGATTTGGTATTTAGACTGTAGAAGTTAAAGGAGCTAAAGGACCTGATATCTGGATTCCAAACACAGACAAAACTTTGCTGTATTTGACACCTATTTGAATCATTTTGTATGTATATATATATATGTATATATATTTCATATGTAACCAGCAGCTCAAGGTATGTGATTCTGCTCTTCTGTTATGTTCTTGTGAGACCCCATCTGCAGTACTGCTTTCAGCTCTGGAATCTCCAGCTCAAGGAGGACTTGGGCCTGTGAGAGAAAGTCCAGAGGAGGGCCAAGAAGGTGAAGACAGGCTGAGAGTGTTGGGGTTGTTCAGCCCAGAGAAAAGAAGGCTCTAGGAAGACCTTATAGTAGCTTTTCAGTACCTAAAGGGGACCTGCAGGAAAACTGGAGAGAGAATTTTTAGAATGACATGTAGTGATAGGACAAGGAGGAATGGCTTGAAATTGAAACCTTTATATATGATTAAATTCTTTAACCTGTGGTGTGAGGCACTGGAAATGGTTGCCCAGAAAAGTTATGGATTCCCTTGCTCAAGGCAAGGTTGGATGGGGTTTTGAGCAACTTGGAGCTAGTTGAAAGAGCCTCTGCTCATGGAAGTGGATGATTTTGATATCTTCCCACCCAAAAAATTCTGTGATTCTATGAACTGTGAAAATGTTGAAAAAAACCACTTTACATCTCATAATAGACTATCTTGCAGCATAGCTATATATATAATTCCAAGCAGTATTAAGCATTATGATCACGGATTGCCTTAGAACATCTAAATAACTACCTAAAATATAATTCTTTTCAATACAAATAATTTTGTTTAGATTATATAATGGTAATAGGTTAAAATATTTTATATCCATTTGTCTCACTGAAGACAGAGAACATGAAAACAATGAAAAACCAGTAAGCACTGTGAACCATACGGGCTCAGATTTTGACTAAGAACATTTTAGGTTTTCTGTATATTCTTTAATTGTATTCTACTAAGCCACAGATTCTATTACTAATTAGAGTTTATAGATAAAAATGCTCCAATACAGTTACCAAGGTCATAACCTCACAAAATGCAAGGTAATCAAATGAGCAAGATGACCTTCAGGTGAACTGAGTAACTTGAGTTGATGTAAGAGTAAGGATGTACCTTGTCATTTTGTGCAGACAAATACACAGTGTTACCATCTGCAGCACTGACAGTAGACAGCTTAACCAGGAATGGACTTGGGGACAAATCAAAAGAAGGCTTTGGGAACAAAGGAAATGGGACAGCTGTTCTCCAAATGGAGGAAGCCTAGAGGGAGAGGTACATTCCAGACTTTTATTGACCCAGGTTACTGCACAAAAGTTCTTGCACATACTGTCTACTTCACCAGATTTGTGGAAATCATATAGGAGCCCCTCTTCTGAAATTTGGAATTAAATCCAGAGATTTTAAGATCTGTTAATGTCTTTATATGCAGCTTACTGAAAGTAATATTCTGGATAAGAGTATTTTCAAGATAGACATTGTAAATAGGATTCAGAACAAAGATAATTTTCCTTTCACTTGTTATGGGATTTGGGTCATCTACACTGACTGCCACCTCTCTACATATTTGGAGCATACTTTACGGAACTTTAACAAGTAAAACTTGTGATTTACTTTATGCTTTCTGAAGGTTCTTAGTTGATAAATCACTGTAGCTGTTGGTAGCAAAGTGGAGATGTCAACCTCTAGTACTTCCATTTCTACAGTGTTATCTCTTTTTTACTGTAGGATGTTACCTAGATTTGTAGATGCACAATTGAAAGTCTCCCAGCAGTTTCCCTGCAAATGCACTAAGGGGTGTAGGGAAACTGTTCCAAGTTGTTAGCATTGTCTATTCAGTCTCCTGCAGCTGTGAATGTCATAAAAAAATAAAAATTATTGACCTTAACTTAATGATGTTGCAATACTGCTAACAGAATAGGAGTTCACTGATATATGTGTTTTACATACCAGACCCACAGCATATGAGCATTTTCTTGCTGTACATAAATTGGACTTGAACCAGTGACCTAAAGGTAAAAGTCTGTTTCCCATTATTGGTCATCTGATCCATGCAGCTTTGTATCTTTTACAAGTTTGATAAATCATGCAAGATTGTAACAAGAAAAAGATGTTTCTTGAACCATATACTGCACAGAATAATCCCTCATCTTCCAGATGTTTGTTTATTTTTGGCAACTGGACTTTACCAAAAAAAATTGAAACATAAATGATTGTATATCACTTAATGGCATTATTTTCCATAGGGTTTTTTTGGAAGGAGGAGGGAACCTGGAATTCTGGAATTAGGCAGGGAGTGGACTTGTATTTCATTTGATACTTTAAGAAATATGTGTGAAAAATCACAAAACAAGAGGAACATTGTAGAGAAATACAATAAAATATGTTTCTCTTTGCCAATAGCTACGAGTCTTCAAATAATAATCTGCCTTCCAAGACAGTTTTAATACACAGCATAAGAAAAAACTGAAGTGGTATCATGACTCGATCTACAGTATCACATCATCCATCTTTAGACATCTATGTGGTTAATAGTTACCCTACTCTGTCTCTGGAATCAGTCAATCGATTTAGAGAATACCAGTGCAGATTAGTCCCAGAGCACGCCAAAGGACAATGATATCTTTCCTGATATTACATGGAAGGCCTTCTTTTTTCCCCCCATCCTGTGTTTATCCAATGTGACTTTATTTTCTAATCAAAGTCCTTAATGTGACTGGCCAATTCAGAGGCACCGTCAGACCAGGAAGTTACAAAAGTCAAAAAATCAGAACATATCAGTAAGTGATAAAATGCAGGTGATGAAATCCAACTTGCAACTTGCCATCCATAGGCTGGGCATTTAGTTTATATTAGCATCCCTTCACTGTCAGTACAGAATGAAACAAAGCTTCTGAAAAGCAGTTCCAGACATTGGCTACAGGAGTTAATTTTATGGTGGGATCTTTAGGTATCTGTATCTCACCTTTGACAGTAAAGGAGGCGAGACAAACAAAAGACTAGGAGAGGCTCAGGAGTTTATTTTATGTCTTTTTTATGTGTCTATTTTATGCCTACATCTTTTAGGATCAAAGCTGATGTATTACATGTGATAAGTTTAAATCCACAGGAGAATCTGAAGTGTCTTCTGTTTCAGTATTTCTTTTACTGCAAAAAATACATTTAATACACAAATAAAATTTCAAAACTTAAAAAGAGGAATTTTAATCTTGAAGGAACAGTTGTTCCACACACTGACCCATCAAAAGGAAAAAAACCCATCATTGGTTTCTCACATAGTTGTTCTGAAACTACCAAAGGCTTACAAGAAAATGTCTAATTACAGTAGAAGTTATTCATAGAATCACAGAAGAGTTTGGGTTAGATGAGACCATAAAAATCATCTATTACCAACTTCCTTGCCAAGGGCAGGGAGGTTTGTTTTCCTTTCCAAAAGTGGCCTATACTTGTTCTTGAATTTTGCATGCAAAGACTTCTTTT